TGACATATTTATTAAAATCGTCAAGAGCTCCTCCTCTTCTTCCCTGAGCTACTGTTGTCATCTGAGGAAATGCACCGCTCCCGGTCAAAAACAACCAATCAGAAGCAGGAGGATTTTCTTGGCGCTGTCAATCAACCTCCTGCACTTGCTGCTAAATGTGCTAATAGAGCAAAAACAACTTGATCTGCTGGGAAATGTTGAAGAATGCTCAGGCTAGTTAGCTTGGCCATCAATGACGATGGATAAACAGTTCTGTAAATGGTCGGTTGTTTCTCCGCCATTAGCACAGGATCCTCTAGAAACTACTCAAGTTTCTTGAGACTCAAAAAAACTATTCCTGAATAGCAAGAATAGTTGCTATTCTTGTAACTGAGGGTACGCACACTGTGATGGACATAAACAATGAGGTGAGCTGTGACGTTTAAACGGTGCTCAGCTGGCGTAAAGACGCCTAAACTGTGCCAAGACAATATCTCTCACACCTTTACATCACTACTACCAGCCTCAGTCATTAATAATGAAATGAAATGAAATGAAATGAAATTTTAATTAATACAAAGCAGAATGGATCCAGGCTTTTATGTTTATAAATTTCTGATGTCACCATCTGAACATTGCAATTAAAATCAGGACTCATGAGATCAGGTAACAGTTTCTGGTCTGCTGTCTGATTTCAGTAGGCCTGTGCTAATTGGAGACTCAGTTTTCCATTCTTAGCTTTGAGGTTGTCCGATCTCATCTTACATTTTAGATGATTTTTAACTACAGGTGATTTCAAATCAAACAGTATCAAACTGTCGATTAATTGCAAAATGCAAATTTTCAAACACAGTAGTTAAGTTAGCCATGAATAAATAAGTATCACATTCCTCATGCACACAACATTCACCAATACAGCTGTGTGGGCTGTGCCAAAAAACTATGTTTTTGTTTTATTACAGTTACACTGGAGTAAAAAAATCCCGTAACGAAAAGTTTTGTTGAAAAGACAGATAACAAAGCCTACATCAAATAGGCGATCCAAAGCTTAGTTCCAATGTTTTTGTTTAGGCTAAACTTAAACGGTACATATGGATGAAAAATTATACTTTTCCTTGCATTTTCTGGGATAGACAGGGATAAATGTGAATGTGAAATGGCCAAAAACCTGCCTTTTGACTCACTTTTTCAGTAGCTTCATTCTCAGTAAATTCATTTGGGAATTGTAATTACCCATGTGTCGATGCTGCTGGAGCAACAGTGATGTGAAGAACTTCCAGTCCACAACATTTCCAGTCCAAAGTATCCCACTGCTTATCACTAATTTAATGCACAAAGTACTGACCCAGAAACATTCAGCTGCTGGCTTGCAAGTACGAATCCAGGTTGCACAAGCATAAATTATTTAAATCCGCAGAGCTTTATTTCAACTTTGTAATTTAGATCACAAAGGCAGAGCTTCTGTTTTTTTACAGAGCTGGAGATTAGGGAGAGTCCAGTTGAAACAGAACCTGCAGCACAAACAAGACTTTCAGAAAAACCTAAACATTGTCTGGCAAACTGGGAACTTAATGAAGGCCTTCAAGTTGTTTGATTTTCCTGCTAAGGCTGATAAAATAGAATATTTTTATGTTGCTTCACTGGTCGTAGTTTTATTGTGATTTGCATCTTTGTGTTATGCAAGGCTTGCTGCACATTTCCATATACCAATTATACAGCTCTGAGATTACGTCACTGGTTTTGCACACAGCTGGAGGTTTCAAAAAAAAAAAAAAAAGCAATGTTGCTTTAATAAAATCTCTATACAGCATATTGTATGGAAAATGTTCTTGTGCTCTGAACAACTTTCTCTGTTTCTTATTTTTAAATAAGAAAAACAAAGTTACTCTAAATGTTTAAATGCCTAATCTCATTTTCCCTACAGTCTTTGAACTGCACACTGGGAGTCTTGAATTACTGTTCCTTACAAAAAGTATTCATTCACTTTTTTACATCATGTATTCTAATGGGATAGATATGAAGGGAAATGATACATAATATTTAGATTTTTTGCAAAAATAAAATAAAATCTAGAAACTGTCTTATGTATTTGTATCTCACTCCTCAGAGTTGACTGGTAATTCTTTGTAAAATAGCTCAATCACAGACAGATTGGATGAGTAGGACCTGTGAACATCATGGTTTTTTTCTCAGGTTTTGCAGAACTGAATTTAGACCTAGACCTTAATTGGCTTTAATTAAACATCTTTACTCTTTGGCCTAAAACCTTCCAATACAGCTTTGGCTGTAAATATGAGGTGGTTGTCCTGCTGATAAGTTTCTGCCCCAGGCTCCGGTGCTTTGCATCCTCTAACGGGTTTTCTTTCTGGAATGCTATGTGTACACATAACAATACATAGCACTATATATAGGAATTTGCATGTCTGTCAAAAAGTTAAGTTATGATCTAATCTTCCATATTTGCTGCTGAATCCTCTATATGGCTTGTGGCAAATGGAAAATGAGTATAAATGTGTTTTCTTCCTGCCACTCTTTCATAAAGCTTAGCTTGTGGGATTCATCTCTATAAATTGCCTTGTCAGCAGATTCTCCCACTTGTGTCGTGCATCTCTGCAACTCCCCCAGAGTTACCGCTGGCATGCTGGCAGCTTCTCATTAATGCTCTCCATGTCCAGCCTACTAAGTAAAGGAAAATGATTTCAGGTTGGCAGCTGTGTCACTCTCTGTTGTCAGATACTGAACTTAACATTCCTCTGCATGAGATTTGGAAGCTTTGTATATTGTTTTATAACCCAACTCTGTCTTGAACTGCTCCACAGCTTCATACCTGCTCACTGCTGTATATATACTGAGATGTAAATGCACTGAGGAAAACTCAAATTACTAATTAGGTGATTTCCGAGAACAATTGTTTCCACTGGGTTTTATTTAGGGGTATCAGAGTCAAAAGTTTAGGGGTATCAGTTTACAAATGTTACTGATTTTTATTTGCTTCATGTTGGTGTCAGGAAAAAAAAATCCCATTTTGACACTTGGAAGTTTAAGTTCAAAGTCTATAAATATTTTAACTTCTTAATATAAACTAAAGTTCAGTAAATCGTCAGGGTTGTTTCTTTTTTGTTTGTTTGTTTGTTTGTTTTCCAAAAACACATGTTGTTCCTATTTCAGTTTCTAAAGATTATAGCAGGATCTGCAATATTGTTCTCCATCTGCAAACCGCACCACAAATGTGACACTTATTGTGAAATTTTAATCAGATGGAAACGAGTACAGGAGTTCATTTTTGATGTCTCACCATGAAACACCAAGATGTTGTTTGCCAACATGATTAGAGTCTTACATGACTTCTACTATAAGGATGGATGATAGAAAACATGTTATATAAGCTCTCATCGTTTGAACATCATCATTTGTTATTTGTGCCTACCTCTTAACAATATTTCTGAGTCTGTACCTTTAAATAGAGATTTAATAGAACAATAGAAACTGAAGATAAAGAGATATGCCTACATAGTCTGCAGAAATGTTTCTATAAACTGAATTCAATGAAGTCATACCTGAAATGTAACATAATATGAAGGCAGTCTAAGTTACAAGACTGTTAGCTGTCCACCACGGGGTCTCAGCACTGTCCTATTAGTATTTAATATGTGTCAATATTTAACACAAAACAACATATGTATGGATAAATATTTTAAAACACTTTACATGTAATAAAAGATGGAAAATAAAAAATATAGTATATACAGAATTTAAACAAGGTAACTGTCAGTACTTGAGCTCTGAAAAACAACAATAAACTTGATGACAAAGCAGAGAAATAGCATTTTCTAAATAAGGTAAAAGAGGGTGGAAATTCCCCTCCCACCGTTCATCCACCCAGCCTGTGGAATGAGACACCTTTCCCACCAACACATCTTCCATTTTCATGTGCATGTGTCTCTCAATTAATATCTTTGAGTAAATCTGTTTAGTAATTTAATTTAAAAAGTGAAAGGTCTGTGAGGCGTTCAGGAACCCCAGGTTGACCATCAGATTTTCTAAGTTATTAGCTCTGATTAATCGTATCGTATTAGATACTTCATAGATTCTTTAAGGCGTTCAGGTCAGGCCCCTTTGCTGGCCAATCAAAGAACCACGGCCATTGAAACAGGGATCAGTCCTGTGTGAGCAGGAGTCCAATCCTGCTGGAAAATAAAATCAGCATCTCCATCAAACTCGTCAGCCGAGGGACGTTCAAAGAGCTCTAACATTTCCAGGTAGATGTTTGTGCTAAGACCAGATGATGAACATTGGACACCAGCAGATGACACGACTCTCCACTGACTGTGGGAAACTCACTACTGGACCTCAAGCAACGCCTTCCTGCAGACACTAGAACTTCTAATAAAATGCTAATTTTACTTTTAATTCAAAATAGGAGTTTGGACACCTGAGCAACAGCCTGTTCACTTTCTCCTTATCATTCTGATGTTATCTCCAGTTTAGGAATATCTTACCACAAATAATAAATCTGTTGTAGCCCATGACTTGGATATGTCTATGAAAGGTGGCTCTTGAATTGTGATGCAGATGCAGTTTGTGCTTTGTGAATCTATAAAACTTGTGAATGGATTGCCTTCTCAGTCCTCTCAAGGCTGCTTGTATGTATGCTTGTTGCTTGTGTACCTTTCTGTGCCACACTTTTTCCTTCCACTCAGCTGTAATATTCTGAACAAGAGAGAGTGGTCAAAAAAACAGCGCACAAGCTACAACAGTGATAACTTGCACATATAAAACCTCAGCTGTGTGTTACTTAAGCGCTGGGAAGTTGAGTGGAATGAAAAACTGTGTCTTGTACAAACAAAAATATGGATGCTGTTCCTAATTATCCGGATGTACCGGTGTAACCTTTCTCTGTGTCACAATTTTAATCTGATTAAGGAACATTCAATCTGAGTGACTGAATGTTTGGGATTTGTTTATTTCAAACACCTTAATAAATTAATAAATTAGAAGAAATGAAAAAAAAAATACCTCACCTGTTTCTCCAGCGCCTCCTTCCCGGTCGTGGATATTTTTGGCGCAGGCGTGCGCTCGCAGGTGCATCCCTCCAACAGGTAAATCCCCGCTGGTCGCGCGCTCTGCTCGTTCTCGAAGTAGAACAGTACATTCTGGTAGAGGGCGAAGAACTTCTCCGACCACCGGCTGTTCTCCGCCGTCTTCTTGCTCAGGTAGCCGCGCTTGGTGCCCTCTTTACGCGCCACCACCGACAGGAACAGTGCGTGCCCTTCGTTGTAGCGGACGCTCTTCTGCATTTTTGCCGCGCGGCTTGAAAGGCAGAGGGGAGAAAGTGGGAGCTTTCACCGAGAGCCCATGGTCCCCGCGGGCTTCATGTAAAACTTTCCCACCGAGAAGCGCCTCAGTGGCGCCGTGGCGCACGGAAAAGTTGCCGCGGTGACGGAAGCGCAGCAGCGGAGAAACTCATTGCAAAGATGCGCCGAGCCAACACGCACTTAATAATAAAGCCATGGTTCTCTCCTCTAAGAAGAAACGATTGAGAGAGCAGGAGGGGGAAACCCTCAAGCGGGAGACAAAGAGAAAGAATCACAGAGGCGACGCGCAGTAATCCGCTTTGGCAGCGGTTAACTCTGTCCCTCTCTCTCCTGCGCTCAGTGGCGCAGTCTCTCAAGGTCTCTCTATCCGTCTCCCTCTCCGTGATGCGCGCGGATCCTGGAGTTGGTGGATTTAAAGGCGGAGCGAGAGTTGCTTGTTTCTCCGGGAGAGTGAGAGATGCAGAGATGGAACTCACAGAGGTCCTCAGTGGCAACTGTTCATTTATCTCTGCTTAACAAGCAAATAATTATAACAAGAACACAAGTTGTTGCTGATATTTTTTTTTCTTTACATTTTCGATTACAGTTCTGTTTTTCAACTCACCATCCTTTACTCTCGTTAGTGAATAAATTCCACCTGTGTGTTTTAATCTCAGCATAAATACAGCTGTTATATGAAGGCCTAAGATCGGGATGTGCAACATTTTTGTCACGGGGCAAAATCGTTGAGTCATTTTACAGGTCAAGCGGAAAAAGACTAAAATCAAGCAAATAAAGCTATGGGGTTTTTTTGGTTTGCTTTGTTTTATATAAAATTTGTTGTATTAACAGAATTGCATCGAATTTTCAAAGACTTTTTTGGCTCGGTTTTGACAAATTTCTTTCTCAGTCACACAAACCTGATTTGGGTGAATTTCTTTGAAAACGTTTGTTTGTATATTTAGCCACCTAAAAGCCGATTTAGGTGCAGCAAAGTCAGCATTTGAGTAACTATGGATAGACGAGGTTCTACTTATAAAGATTTGGTTGCAAAAGGACAAATGGTTTGTATTTACTTAACATTTTCCATTGTAAGAAAATTATGTTGGCAATAATTTTATCCTGGTGAAAAATAAAACGTTTGATGCAAAGTTGAACTGCACTTGAGGCCTGCAGACAGATCAGGGTTAATGTGGGGGCATTTATCACAGGTTACATTCTGAAATAATACCAAAAGAATCCAACATCTTGGATATAACTAAATATGAAACCAACTATATGACTGGTCTGGCCTGAACTGCATTCATAAGCATTTGAACTGAGCCGGACTTGTTTTTTAAAGTGCTTTGAGATCTCTGTGGATTGTTGCAAACTAGAGTTGAAGTTTCACATTTTATGCTTCAAGTACTTTTGATTCATTTTCCTTTGGAAGGGAAAAAGGGGGAAAAAACAGAGTTTATGCCTTAATGGCGGAGCATTTCCAATAACGTTGCATGATGTTTGGAATTCACTTAGCAATTTTAGCTTCATTTTAATCATGTATTAAATTTGCTTCCAACTAACGACACATCAGATTTACATAAACCCACAAAGTGTTCTTCAGTCAGATCTTATGTAAGAAATATATAAAATATAATTTTAAAACAACTGTCAATGCCTAACTGAAGTGATCTTACATGAGTTGGGTGTTTAGTCTATTATGGCCAAGATCGAGGGGATATTATCATTAAACACCATCATCATAAATGCAAACTGCTGAAAGCAAAACTGTGTTCTTAGTTGTACTGGCGTTATATGAAGTCCATGCAATTAGTGTGCATGCAATAAAAAACCACTTAACTGTGTAGAAAATAAAATCGGGGTGTTATTAAAATGTTGAACGGTCCAGAACCGTTCAACAATAAGTGAAGCCCTCCAATAAAGGCATTTTGTTTCAATTTAGCTTGAAACAAAAACACTAACAAAGAAATAAAACTTAAATATTAGGATTATTTGAATGCATTCCACTTTACTTGCATACTCCTTTTTTTTTTAAAGAATATTGGGTTTTAAAGTCTCAGCAATGAATCTAATATAATGATTATGATTTCAATATTCACCAAAAGAACTCCAGTTTAAAAGGTAATAAAATAAGACAGGTATTTCATTTTTCTTTATTTGATCGTCGAACACATGGACACCACACAGCTGTAGGTAAAACGTGATCCTTTAGTATCAACTATTGTGATGACAGCTACCAGAACCTGAGGGGCTTAAAACTGCATAATCAACAAGCTCCTGCAGAGAGAAAAAATAACTCTTTTGTGAGCATTAAAAATGTTCAGTCATCGATGGCATGATTTATTTCTTGGAAGTATTTCAGGTCGATGGTTGCAGCTGTTGAGACGTCAAGAGTTCGACTGCAGCCACTTTTCGAGGGAGGATTTGTCGCAGATGCTCCAAAGAGCTGAGAGAAGTTTCTTATACTTCCTGCAGAGACACAGAAACACCAAAAACATTATCCATCCGGGACTAGAAAATATTGTGTTTCCTTTAGATATTACAGAAACAAAAATGCTGCAGTCTCAAAGATTTATGTGGAAATAAAATGAAGTCTACACTCAATTCCTCTCCGTCTTTTGTTGGACATACGCATCTAACATAAACACATTTAATATAAGAAGGATTACTCTGATCGAGTGGCTGTGAGTGCGTGTGTGTGTAGTGTTGACATTTTTTTTATGTGGTGAAGAGGTTAGAGAATAAACAGCCATGCAGCAGTCTGTATGTTATATACAGAAAATGACATCAATATGCTGATTTATTGGTAAAACACTAACAATTATCCAAACCTCCATCTCATCACTCAGTACTAAGCTGAATTTGAGCCACATAGGAATTGTGTGTTGAACTCCAACAGAGAAGCCTTCTGCGTCAGCATCAATCAGATGGGTTTTAAATTTAATATACAAACTCAGTGATGTGTCCAAAGTCACTCAGAACATTTTTTTGCACTTCAGCTTCTTCACAGAAAAGCCTTTCCGTCAGAAAGCTGATATCAGCAGCTCCCATGTTCATCCAGCTAAAATGACTGTGGACTCCAGTGGCTTTGAGGACAGAATATGTTGTCTTCAGCTTCAAGAGTGCAAATCCAACCAAATTTCAATGTAAATTATTAAAACTCTAATAATAATAGTTTATTATTATTAATGTAGGCCTCTTTTAGGGAGTAAAACTTACTTCCCTCAAAAAATAAATTGTAAATACCTTTGTGACTGCAAAGATAAAAATGTGTTTTGTTTTTTTTTAACAATCAGAACTGAAATTTGAGAATATATTATTGTAATAAACAGAAAAATACAGTGGTATAAAAAAGTCAAATCAAATTTCTTATATTTTTGGCTGTTTTGTCACATCTAAATGTTTCAAATCAACCGGATTTGATTCTCAAGAGAAAACTGAGTGAACACAATGCACTTTTCAAATGTTTTCATTCATTAAAAGAAAATGTCACTTTGTCACTAAACATTACTAGCCATACTGAGTCCTGATTACTAATAAACCTGTAAAATCAATAAACCTTTCTAACAACAAAAAGTAGGCTAAAAAATGCTCAAAAAGAAAACATCAAATGTTCTTGATTCAAATGTAAATCAAGAACATTTGATTTACATTTAAATCAAAATGTAAATCAGAGACACAGAAACACTGTCTCTGATTTACATTTTCTGTGTCACAAATCAGAGACACAGAAATATTAGATTCTTAAATCAAGATTCAAATGTTCTTGATTTAAATGTAAATCAAGAACATTTGGTGTTTTTGAGAACCAAAGTATTTGACGTCCATCAGGGAATAGTTACAAAGCCATTTCCATTGGATCACTGGGACATCAGTGATCCAATTTCTGAGCCACAATTGGAAAAAAAGCATCCAACAATTTGGAAACTTTCCTGCAGTAGCCAATATTCAATGATTCACCCAGGAAGTCACAGAGGAACCCACAGCAACATGCAGGTGTTTATGGAGACATACACAAAAAACGTTTTATGCATTTCTAAGGAACCATACTCAGTTACAGAATTCAAAAGTATGCTATTCTTAATAACTGTACAGTATTTTTCTCTTGTGTTTTTTTTCCTTACCTGTTATTTTTCTGTTTTTATAGTTATTATCTTAGTTTGAATATGCATTCTTCCATTTGCTGTTGGTACACCTGAATTTCCAAACTGTGGGACAGTAAAAGGATATTTCTGTTCTGTTTTATGCTATTGCGCTGCAAATGATCCTGGTACAAGAATTAGAAACTGGTGAAGAGTTTCAGAGCCAAAACCACTGCAAACTACTCAGAACACAAAGTCTCTTGAGACACTTCTAGGAAAATATTTAGGGGGGGGGGGGAAAGAAAAGCAAATTGAACTTTGTGGAAGATGTGCGTCCCATTCTTGCTGAAGGAGAACATTCAGTGAACTTAAACTCAAGCACACTTGAGTCACAAAGCTGATCCTAACTAGACCACCTCTGAATAGCTCATAAAAGCCAAAATAAAGGTTTTGAAGTGGCCTAGTCAAAGACTGAACTTAGATCTGATTGAGGCATGGTGGTGTCACCTTAAACAATTGCCTAAAACAATTATGAAAAGAAGAGTGTGTTAAAATTCCCCCATGGTGACGTAGAAGACTGGTTGTTAAGTTTTGCAAACACTTCAACTATTGATGTAAAAAAAAAAAAAAAAAAAGTGACTCAATGTCACATTGAGTCATGTTGATTTTGTTAAATATTTTTAAATAAAATCATCTTCTAGCATATTTCAGAGTATTTCAGAGTAGCTTTGTCTGATTAAACTGTGACTGATGATCTAAAACATGCAAGTGTGACAAATCAGCCAAAAATGGAAGAAATCTGTAACATGCTTTTTGGTTACATCTTTTCACAGATCTGCATATTTGTGCAAAGCTTAATAATATACAAGTCATAATTCAGCATAAAAATTCACTGCAGCTCACACATGGTCAAGAAACATTCATTAAAAATCAGGCATGAAAAAAAGAAACCATTACAGCAAAAAACCCAAGTACAGAAACTCTGCTGCTGCCGTTTCACTTTGAAATGCATCTGTTGCTCTAAGTAAGACCATTCAAAACAAAGCTGCATCATTAACACCTGCTACAGTTACTTAAGGGGATTTTTAAGCATCTCATGATGACAAATCTTTCTTCTGTAATCTTGTGCCATTTGCATCGCTCCCTATTTTCCGGGAAGAGTGGCACATTTTCCGGTTCAAATGTGTGAACTCGAGTATGAAATCAAGTACATTTGAGTGCTGAAGTTTAAATAAACAATAGTTTAGTCGAGATTAGCTTTTGTTTATGTCTAAAATATTATGACAGAGCCGCATCTTTGAGCGTCAACCTTGCATTTGAGCTTTAAATTATTTAAATCATTTGGGAACTGGGCTTTATACTGAGCTCATAAGATTTCATGCATCACTCTCAGAAAGGTAAAGAGCACACAAACAGCTCACAGTACACACACCATAAAAATACAAGCTGACTGGACATGCACTTTAGTGTCTCCTTGAAGGAAATGTCAGGGTGGTTATGTGTGCGTTACCTCCTGGCGTTGACCAGGCTCTCCAGCTCTCGGGCTTTATGAGAGGCGGTGTGCAGTATCGGGTCAGGAACGTCAGCTAGTCGGGCCACGTTCAGGCCGTAGCTTCGCCCCGCAGCTCCTTTGGTTAGCTGATAGAGGAAGGTGATGAACTCTGGCTGAACCTCTCCATCTGACAACACACCCAGTGGCATGAAATGAAGTCTTAGAGATTACCTTTTATGTTTCCCTAAACAGATTAGGTTAGGACTATACAATATGTACATTACATTTTTTTGCACAAAATCATTCATACATAATGCTGTTTTTGTGTGCTAAAAACCGACGGGGTGATTTTTTACTTTTCTTTAAGGCTTGAACTGTTTCGAGAAGCAGTAGAGAACCAAATGGAAGTACAAAAATGTGCACAATGTTATTAATCCCCTTTAAAGTGCAAAAATGAATCCTGACATAAACAACCATGTCTATGTTGTGCACAATCTAGCAACAGGTC